GATTTTATTTAAAACTTATTTTACTGAAAATATTTTCCAAAAACAACTTATCTTTTTCCAAAAGGGATTTATTAGAAAATAAATATTCTTATTCTGTAAAACCAAATCCCTAAAAGATATGCACGTATTAGGTAAATATTTATATCATTAAATTCGACCTGCGACCTTTAACGACGTGCAGACCTAAGTTCCGATTAGGTTTTGGAACTCTGACAGTCTCTGAGTTCCTAACAAGTCAGTAACTCTAATTTCATTGACTATCATGAGTTCACCTTGGTTCTTTAGACTTGTTCCAGACTGACTTTTATGTCCAACATACTTACATGAATCCTAGAGCGATATACTTCGATTTCTTCGTTTTCATGTTGTTTCTTTGAAACTCTTGTTCTGGAATCTTGTAGTATTGATGTATTCTAGTTCTCGGGGCAACGTTAAGTTCCTGTTAGGGAACGTTCCTGTTAGGGAACTTAGATAGTTATTGTTAGAGAACTAAGTTCCTGTTAGGGAACTCTTCATGTACCTGTTAGGGGAAATGGAACTCTTCATGTACCTGTTAGGGAACATGCTCCGACTTTCGTGGGAAAGCCTGCCGAAAGTTCCTTCTGGATCTTGTTAGAGAATACCTTCAGGTTCCTTTGTGGTTTGGTTCTTGTGGGAGAACCTGCTTTAGGTTCATTCATTCCCTCTTGTTCCTCTTAAAGTCTTCTATGTTCCAACCCATTGACCTCACCTAAGTCAGTTTCTATCTTCACATGAGCACTTAAGAGAAACATTAGATTAAAGTTTGTTTGTCATAAACAAACATCAAGTGAGAGAACTAATTAAACTTAAAGCTTATGTAAATACTCCTACACATATACGACTAACGTATGTATAGAGTACTTACCTCATGAAGCTAACATATGCAAACACCTATTTACATAGTTACCTTCATAGTTCCTTAGCCATCATCATGCTTATCAACCATAACACTCATCATTGTTTTTGTTCTTCTATTGCTTATCATATATTGCTTAAGTTCCTTATATACATACTTGTCATTGCTCAGGTTCCTTGTATCCTGTTCCAAGTATAACTTGTTCTTTCTATGCACAACTTAACAAACACATTAGATAGATAATCATCATTAGTTTACAATCATCAAAACCTAATTACTCAACACTGTGGATATGTCAAAGATTTAACAAGATATATATACATATCTTGTTAAATTCAAGTAAACCGTTTGCTGCAATTTGGGAGCGGATCATACACAAATATAGTGCGGACATCGTAAGCTCTATGGCTACTCCTATGTGGGCAGCATGGAGATGTAGAAATCTGCTAATTCATGACAATGAGAGACCCCATTTTGTCATGTTAGCTGCTGGATTTTGTAAGCTAGTCCAAGACTATAATGTATACTCCAACAAAGTGATACAACGTGTTGCTGCTACTCCTACTACTACAAGCTTTAGTTCGTGGCACCCCCCTCCACCAGGTTATGTGAAGTTTAACTCTGATGCTCATGTTCCCATATCTGGTGTGGCGGGACTTGGCGTAGTAGGACGTGATGAGAAGGGCAGCCTATTTTGTGCAGCAACGAAGAAGGCTTTATAGTACTCAACCAGAGTATATTGAAGCTATGGCCGTGTTATACGCCTTGACACTTGCTAGAAGGCTGGGATATAAGAATGTGGGGGGAATGTGATTCTTTGAATTTTGTCAAGAAGGTAAATGATGGTGACGAAGGTCTCTCTCCCTTGTTTGTGATCTATGATGATATTAAGTCCGATAGAGCTTGGTTTGATAATTGTATTTTTCAGGTGTTAGACTTGATTCCTTTCCCCGGCCTAGAGTATTCTAGCTTTGGTGGATTTGGATAATGCTTAATTTTGCTCTATCGGTTTTCAAATATATATATACTAGTTTTGTGCCCGTGCGATGCCCGGGTTGTTTATTAAATTTAAAGATATATTTTAATCTATATGTCAAATTTTAAAACATATCATTGATACAAAATTAGTTAAGAATTGACGTGTTTTTGTGACGATTTAAACTTGTAGACATGTAATGACAAATAATAATAATATTGGTGAAATTTTTTTTTGATCTTGTCTGAAATGACTCGTGACCCGACCTGATTGACAGGTCTACACACAAATAAAATTATATTAGATTGTGAAGTATATTATTTTAATTGATTAGAATATATTATAAACCATGGATGTGGTACATTTTGAATTAATTCCTTCTCTCCAAAAAAATATTATGATACAAAAAAAAATTTATATGATAATTTATGATAGTTATAATCTAATTTTTTTTGAATAAAATTATAATTCAATTTGTACATATGAAATATTGGTACTTTATCAAAAATAAAACTCTAAATTAACAATTTTATCCTAAAATTCTATCCAAATTTGATTGAAAATAAAATTCTAAACTACCTCTTTTATCCTACAAATTGAATTCTATATAATTCTATCCTACGTGGCACGACACTTGGCGAAAAGTTGGAACGCCAAGTGTTGTTGTCTCGTCGCCTGGCTAAAAGTTTAGCTTTATATATATTACTAGTTTTGTGCCCGTGCGATGCCCGGGTTGTTTATTGAATTTAAAGATAAAATTTTTAATCTATACGTCAAATTTAAAATATACCATTGGTATAAATTTAGTTTATTGATGTGCTTTGTGACGATTTGCTATCTAGTAGGCATGTAATGATTAATACTTGTATTGGTGGAAATGTTCGATTTAGTACATAAAAAATAAACAAATAATAAATTAAATAAGATAAATGCTCAAAGCCTGTTGAGTTGACTCGAACCCAAAACTTTGGGTAAGGGTTGAACATTTCTTGACTCGTAACTTAAAGTGACTCAATCCGAGATGACTCATGACTCAACCCTAATTGACAGGTCTATCAGTGGTAATAAAATTCTATAAGTTGTGAAGTATAGTATTTTAACCGATTAGTATTATAAATAGATGTTTTACACTTTAAACTAATTCCTTCGCTCCAAAAAAAATATTATGACATAAAAAATTAAATTTACATGATAATTTTTAAGAATTATAATCTAATAATCTTTTTGAATAAAATTATAATTCAATTTGTATCTCATAAATATTGGTCTTTTATCGAAAATAAAATTCTAAACTTAAAATTTTATCCTAAAATTCTATTTTTTTTAATCTTATGAAGTCTATTTAAATTGCTCCAACGTGGCGCGACACTTGGCGAAAAGTTGGAACGCCATGTGTCGCAATGTCGTGACCTGCCTAAAAGTTTAGCTTTATATATTAGTTATATGATTATATATATATATATATAATTAAATACAACTAGTTAGTCTTAAATCTTTCAATTAATTAAGCCCAATGATATGTCGTTGACCAAGATGTCAACTACTAACTGTGATAAGATGATGACTCAAGAAAGAGTTCAAACATCTAGTATAGAAGCATACGTTAAAAATTGATACGATTCTCATCATCCGTGTTTGTGGCTCTTAACATAAAAAAAATAAAAAATAAAAAAAAAAGTTTGTAGGGACACCACATGTTTAGTCCATTAATGATCATTATTATTTCATAAAACAAAAGATTGTTAGCATTGATGTTTAAAAAAATTAATAGTACAAGTGCTAAAAAAAAAAAAAAAAAAAAAAAAAAAAAAAAAAAAAACCTAATCTTAAAAGTAAAAATTAACAATCTAAATTTATATTTCACTAGTTTAAAATAAACTTTTTAAAAAAGAAATATATATCATCTAAAAAATCTTCACAAAAATAAATATGTGTCTACCAAAAAAGAGATAATGTAATAAAGATTAAGTAAATAAATATGTGTCAAAAAAAAAAAGAGACAATGTAATAAAGATTATGTAAATAACTATGTGTCAACCAAAAAAGAGAGATAATGTGATAAAGATTATGTAAATAAATATATCTTTTTCCTCCTTTCTCTCTCCAAAACCCTAGGCTCCATTGTTGAATTTTGAAGGGGCTTCCATCGATTTTAATCGGTGGAAAGCCCCAATCCTTGTTTCTTTTTTTTTTGTAGGTTTATAATAATGCTTCCTCCTTTTGGGGGAACTTTTCTCCCTCGAAAGAAAGGGTTTCCGATCTCCTTCGAAAGACAAGGGTTTTTCGACCTCCTTCGAAAGACAAGGTTTATCTTATCTTTTCGAGGGAGAAATTTCTTAGTGTTGAATCCATGGTAGCAGATCTAATGGATTGTCGTGAAATTATTTCGTTGGTGAAAAAGTTATCAAGTTTTTGAATACGAACAGATGAATTAGAAGGAAAATATCCTCACGGCTACGAAGGATCGTTAGATTGTCTCTCCATTAAGGTTGTAATTTTCAGCGATATAAGCGAGAGATGCTCTGCTCACTAGTAGAAAAATGCTCATTTGCGTCACTCATAGAAACAAATGACGCAAATAAGATATTTTGACAACCTTATAAGTAATTTGCGTCGGGCATTTGTTATAAAGCGACGCAAATGTCAAACATATTTCAACTTATTTATATTTACGTCGCTTTTATAAGTAGGAGCGACGCATATAACAATGTTATTTGCGTCACTCGTTTATTGACAAGTGACGCAAATAACCTTTGTGAGTCAATTGTGTCATTTCTTTCTTTACTGAGTGACGCAAATGACCATTATGACTTATATTAATTCTCGCTGCCTTCTGCTGTTCGAACTTCAATACTCCAAACCCTAGAAAATTCAACCCCAAAATTCCCAGAAATTCAACATCAAAACCCCAAAAAATTGATCGGTAAAACCCCTGAATTCCCCATTGCTGCTTTGCTGCTGTTCAACCCCCTAAACGTCAGCGAATTAAGAGTAATACCTCGAGAAATTCGTCTTCATAACCTACTAATTTGACCACTAATCAAAAATCCCAGCAAATGTGAGGCAAAACCCCTTATATTCGAGCAAATCTGAGCAAAAATCCCCTACTTTCTTGCAAAAAATCTACCCAAAATCCCCACGAAAATCAATTGCGAAAAATCGAGCAAATTACCTTAATTAAATTTGAGCAAAATAACAATTGAAAGTTAGGGTTTGTACTCAATAATATGGAATTTTGGCTCTATTGTTGCTGAAGTTGCATATGCAAAATCGATTTCAAGCAAGGTAAGACCTCTTCATCTCTTTTCTTTTTTATCATGCACTTCAATCTACATAGATATTTGGATTCAATTGTAAATTAACTTAGTTTAATCTACCTATTTTGTTGTTGTTTTTTGCACGAATTCTAGTTTTACAAGCATGCTTATAAATAACAGCTTTTTGGGGTTCATATTCGAATTTAGGGTTCATATTCGAATTTAGGGTTCATCAAATATAGGATTTATACTCGATTCTAAGGAATTTTGGTTCTGTTTTGGTGAATTTATGTAGTTGATTTGGTGAATTTTGATTTTACTATTTTATTGATTTTTCTCCAATATGACTGTATTTACTTTTATGTTTTGCTGCTCATTTTACAGTTTTTTAAATCTGACTGTTTTTTTTTATTTTTTTTTAATTTTTATGTTTTGCTGCTCATTCTGGTTGATTTTTCCCCTGCTACTACTAAGAGAAGCTCTTTCCCATTTTTTTTTAGCTAAAAAATGTTCCATGATATACTTGGCCGTGAAAAGATAAACTATGACATAGTGTTTGTATTGAAATAATTTTACCAGGCCGTTTTGTTAAAAATAAACGACCACTCCTAGCCTTGCCTTACACCCCTCAAGAATATGAGCATCTGAGTTTGCTTTAACACACCCAAGGCACGGTTTCTTCCAGCTTGTAGCAGCATCATTTTGTCTCAGAACAGGGGGGGCAGCAGAACCTTTTTAGCATAGCCATTGTAATCATGAACTATCCTTGCAAACCCCGCAGCCAGCAGCACACTATTCGGATTCTCACCTTGAAACATGATTAAATTCCTCCCTCTCTAAGCAGCCCACATCAGTGCGGCCATAGAACAAACTACTTCTGCATCATATTTCTTACAAAGCCATAACCATAGCTCTGCGAAATTATCATTTGGCGCATCTTCCAGGTTGGTTTTGTACTCACTGTAATGCCAAATTTCCTTTGCAACAACACACTCAAATAGAGTGTGATAAATTGTTTCATTCACACCACATAATTGGCAAGTAGCGTCAGTTGTAATATGACGATACCTTAGTCGATCTTTCACTGCCATATTCCCCTTCACAGCACTCCAAAGAAAATGCCTTAATTTTGGTGGCTCTCTTGGTTTTTGTATTAAGAAAATCCTGATCGAATCGTATAAATGCCATTCTTGGTTTTTGTATTAAGAGGTTTTGCAAATAATTGGCATCAATCCTTTATTCCTCTTCTAGTATACTTAATTAGAGGAACAACTATTAGTATTTTCTTGGAAAGGTAATGTAGTTGTTTAAATAATTGTAGAATATTATTTTGTTGCTTTGATCCTTCATTCTCAACTCTGATTGTTTATTGATTAATTGTATTTGATATCAGGAACTGGTGACTTTATTTAAACTGTTTGCAAGAGAAAAAGGAAGTGGACTTCCATTATGGACTTGTTCGATCGTGTTAGGGAAAATGAAGATTTTGTCCCTAAATTGAATTACGCTGGCTTCAAATTCCATATTATTTATTGGATTATTTTGTTATAGTTCTTAGGCTTGAAATGAACGCATTTGATTTACCAACATTTGGTTTGGTTTGGTGCTTGTGTTATACTTATTAATTAATGATGAAGAGGTCAATATTGTTTTGTTGTAAACTTAGCGCATGTTGGACTCTTGTTTTGGATTATAGGCTTGAAATGAAATTTGGTTAATTGGTGTTGGGATGATGAGTATAATGTCTATGATATTGAGATGTAAATTATTAGACAGGTTATTAATATAATGCCGTCATTCCCAATTTTATGGGTAGGCCAAATTACAAAGGAGACTCTGCCGAAATTTACATTTGCATTATTCAATAATATTGCATTTTAATTTCAATTATATTAGCGTTAGCATATTACTTTATACCACTAGTGAGGAAAACAGGTACTACAAACATATACAAGGCAATTATTATAATTAAAAAAAAAAAATTCACCTCATTTGCGTCACTCATTAAACAAACAAGTGACGCAAATACAACAATTTTGTATTGTCTAGTCAGTCATTTGCGTCACTCCTATATAAACAAGTGACGCAAATAACAAACAAGAAGTTTATCAGAAGAGTCATTTGCGTCGCTCCTTTATAAAGGAGTGACGCAAATAACAAAAAAGAATTGTATCAGAAGAGTCATTTGCGTCGCTCTTTTATAAAGGAGTGACGCAAATAAGAGTCATTTGCGTCGCTCCTTTATAAAGGAGTGACACAAATAACAAAAAAGAAGTTTATCAGAAGAGTCATTTGCATCGCTCCTTTATAAAGGAGCGACGCAAATGACTCTTATTTGCGTCGCGCCTAGGAGCGACGCAGATGACTTTTAAATCATTTGCGTCGCGAGCAGTTGTATCGCTCATAGAAGCGACGCAAATACACTATAAATGAGCGACGCAAATGAGCCTTTTTCTACTAGTGGCTTTACAAGATCTATTTGACGATCGTACTTTTATGAAGGAAATTTTTATTTGATTCAATATTTTATATATTTTTTAACATCGAATCTCTATTGTAGATGTCTTATGACTTTTAATTAATGAAATATTTTTTGCTATTATTAAAAATGTAAATAAATGTGTAAACAAAAAAAAAGAAATAATATGATAAAGGCAAAATTGTTATAAACCATTTTTTTTCTAACTTTTTTTATAAAACCACTTCTTTTTTTTTTTTTTGTTTAAACCACCTTTTAAGTACCTAAGATTTTGATTGCACCACCAGTCCACCACTATTTCAATTATATAAAGAAGGAAATTTTGTGAAAAAACTACCTATTATAGTCCAGAATTTGCGAGAAACTACCTATTAAAAAAAATGTTGTAATTGACTGCCTAACTTTTGAAAATTGTTGTAATTTACTACCTTACGCCGGATTATGAAGTTTGACCAAAATTTTCTGGCGCAGACTTGGTCACGTGACACTTAGTAACCATCACGTGGGAAAATTGTGAGAAAATTTGGGAAAGAAAAGGGTCATTAAGTGTCACGTGACCAAGTCAATGCCGGAGAATTTTGGTCAAACTCCTTTATAATCTAGCGTAAGGTAGTAAATTACAACATTTTTCAAAAATTAAGTAGTCAATTACAACATTTTTTTAATAGGTAATTTCTCGCAAATTCTGAACTATAATAGGTAGTTTTTCAAAAAAAATCCTATAAAGAATAATTGCTTGCAAATGAACATATATCAAAGAGAAGTTGACATTATCATGTGTTCTAAAACATTGAAATTGAGAATAAGTTATTACAACGAATCAGCTATCCGATCATGTAATCCTGGATTATTTTTTTTTTCGTTTGAAGGCAACCCTTAAATTCAATATCATTAATGCCCTAGTTTAGAGAACGATAGTTAGATTATAGAGGTTATTCATTAAAATCAAACACATTAATTAGATATAAGATACGTAGTATATCTTTACATGCCTAAACAAGGATGCAGTTCTATCAATGAAATCAAGTTCGATTTCAGCAACTCGAGTTACTAATAATTTCTGCAATCAAACTTGACATTGAAGAAAAATGATAGATGTTAACCTGACTTGTGAATTTAAGATTTTATAAGGTGTTCTAACTACATCAGATTAGAAATGTCTTAGATAAATTATAAGCCATACTGAAAAATGATAGGTGTTAACCTGATTAAGGTAGCTTGTGAATTTCAGATTTTATAAGGTGTTCTAACTACATCAGATAATAAATGTTTAGATAAATTATAAGACATATTTAAATTAAAATTTGATCGCAAATTTAACTAATTAAAATTAACATACAAAATTAAAAGATTTTACTTTTATTAAGGTATTGATTTTTCTGCTCAAAATGTTGCAGATATTTCTTAAATATAAGATGCTACTTACGCACCTACATACAAGAAATTAGATTTCAACATATTGCATAAAACTATATAATAATTGTAATGAAATTACAGAATAATCATACCCTTCATTTTATTTTTGCTTAACGTGCAAATTAACAGGTACACATGCACGTGGTCGTTGTATACATTGGAGAACAAAACTAATCAATGAGTTGGAATTAAAAGAATTAGTGTATATCCATACTATATGTTATGCGAGATATTGGTTAAAAATAATGATGTTGTAACCATGAAAATAATAGAGAAATTAGGGCAAAGATACAATACTTAATGTAGATCTCATATAAGCTGTAAAGCGTTTTACAGCTGCCTAGAAGCGTATTTCTCCACTATCGATACGGGGCACTCAGTGACGAATGCTCCTCAAGGGTAACACAGCTACCTTCCAACTCCGCACCCCGATTGGAAGGTTAGAATTACTTCAAGAAATGCTTATATCTCTATGGGAATTGGCTATGTGTTTAGGGTTTTTCAATACTTTGTATTTTTCGTATGTAAAATAATGAATAGGCACAATGGGTATATCCATACTTTGGCCCGAATCATCAAGCCCGCCCTATCGGACATGTGGGGTAAGAAGTCCACGCCAAACATAGATCTTTTTGAATCTGATACCATATAGAGAAAAATGATTTTGATTGATTATTGAAGATGCCTAGCGTGAATAGGAATAGTGGGTTAAAGAGCGGTATCTATAGGTAAATTCTCTCTAAGCACAGAGGGATGTATAAGAGTATTGGAGCATTGGAAAATAGGTAGGTGTATGTATTTATAGGTGATGTATGGACATCGAAGAAGTGTGGAATTTTCTACACACAAGCTCTTCAAATTCCACATAAATCTAGAATTCTAGAATTGTCATGACAATCACCAAATTCTAGGTTCTCCCACATTCTCCGTCGATTTCTCAATATAGTAGAATGTTCTAGAAACCTTGACATATAATGAGGTTAATTTGGGCCACACTAACCCAACAAACTGACCAATAATTTGTAGGATACATAAATTATCTTCTTCTCTTTTACAAATTCTCCTTTCCTTTTTAAATTGATTAATATTCTTTTTTTTTATCAACAGAAAACAAAAAAACCTTGATTTCTCAGCAATGGTGAATTCCCTTACCTGGTTTCAAGAAATCAGTGGCGGAGCCAAGTAGGTACAAGGGGAGACAGTTGTCCCCCCATTTTTTTTAAATAGCTTATAATAAATTGTGAAATCCGAGTTATAACAAAAAAAAATGAATGAGATATGAAACTCTATCCAAAACTGACACCCTTCAACTATTTCGGCCATATCTTTTTATCTACAAAAGATTTTAATCTGATTTCAATTGGGTTGAAAATTAGACTTTAAGAGTTTTTCAGCGACATATTATATGCCTTATTTTTATTTCCGGATCAAAAGATATGATAAAAACAAAAAACGTGTGAAACTGATTATTAGTGCCTAACGACAAGCATTAGCGTCCTGCGGTAAGGCTTTGCGCCTGGCGCTAACCTTCAGCGCCTGGCGCTAATGACCAGCGTCTGGCGCTTATCGTGTTTTATTCTCGTTAAAACTCTGATTTGTTTTTCTATCCGTTTGGCTGATTTTCTCTATAATAGCCTCCTAAAACCCCCGTTTTCAATCATAAAAAATCATCAATTTTCATCAATACTTCTTATCAATTCTCTAGTTTTCTAATTCTCTTCTCTCTATTATTATAAACTAGCCTTTTGCATACAAAATTCCGCATTCACAAGATCTAGAAACACCTAGCCAAGTTCAAAGTTGCCTTCGCCCTAGACGTGAAAGGTTTTAATTTCTGAGGGTTTGGTCCCAAATCTAGTGTAAACTTTCTTTAATCTCTATTTCAATTATTTATTTAATTGTTTTGATTTAATATTTTTCTTGAAGTTACTAACGTGTGTATTTTGTTATTAGAAAGAGATACGTGACATCCAAGTAAGTGCTTTGATTGATTTATTGATATTTTTTATATAGAAATCATGTTTAGATTGTTATTTTGATTCCTAGTATAATGTTAGAATGTTTTATTGCTTCTTAGTATGATATTTAGGGTGATTTGCTTATATCAATTATGATTTCTATGATGCTTCTTATTTTCTTTCCTAATAGCATGTCAGTATCATGTTAGGGCTAAAGCTTTGATCTTTGATGTTTAGTCACATGCTAGGGTTTGTTATTAATCTTGTTAGTATCATGCCTAGGATCTTGTTATTATTATGCTTTAACATGATTATTTTAATTATTATGATTGTTATTTCAATTATGTATAATTATTGTTATGATGATTATTATGTTGCTTGATATTTATTGTTATTGCTTGATCACACCTTCTAATTGCATGTTTAAAAGGAATTGGTACTTGTAATCACGCTTAATAAGATAATTAATAATCTTATTTAGGGTTAATTTGATTATAATTCAAGTGATTGCCAATAATAGTTTATTTGTGCATTAATATTCAACCAACATAGATAAACAGGTTTAGGGTTAACCTATTGATTGCATGTTAGTCAGAAAGCGCACATGAATACGATCAAAATAAAGTAGATGCCTATAATTAGGGCAAGTTCAATCTCTTTTAGGTTGGATTTGTACCTTCATCCCCGAACTACCAGTCATGGTTTCATACCTATTGGAGTTGACGATCTCTTAGATCGTTAAGGAGTGTAACCTTCACCTAGTGAACGGTTTACAAGTTCCTAAAACTTGTTGACGACTCTTTTGCTCTATCTTCTTTTCCTTTGGACGCCACCGTACTTTAGTGTATGATCACAGTAGGGTTCAAGCTAGGGGTAATGCTTGAAATATTCCCTACACTCGGCGACCTTCATATTATAATACACTATGCTAAGCAAAACAATGTACCAGAGCTGATCGCGTATACTCGACAACCTTCATTTTCAAATTTTAAAATTCAAAATCACATATATTAAAAAAACATAAGTTATAATGT